CTCAGTAGGCGCGGCTTCGATGAAGTACCCTTTATTGATCATAGGAGACACTGTGGTGGCATGCGGCAAAGATGTTTCGGGGGTCGGAGGTTACTGGCAAAGAACAAGTGACTCACGTCAACAGTGAGAGAGCCGGCTGCAAGCCTCATGTGGAATCACCACAGCCTTTAACTGAACACCAAACTGAAGACGTACATGGCCATCGTCTTGATGACACTTCCGCACGGAACGGAGGCCTGGACCACCTACTTCAGTCAAGCCAGGAGGCTGAATCACTTTCATCTCAGCGATTTCCGCGGAATAATGGAACTGAGATCGCAGGACAGGATAGTGGGCGCCGAAGTCCTGTAACGGACCGGAATGCCCAGGATTTACGCCATGCTGATTTAACTTCAACTGTAATGGAACAGTGAGGATGGACGACGCTCGCCTATCAAAAAAATATTCCATAAAGATGTTGTTACCGGTGCTTGACGAAAAGGTGATCAAGTCCTTGAAGAACTCCCTGAATCCTCTAAAAATCAACCCGAAGACTCGGGAATATTCCGCACAGAACCGACTAGTCTGGAGAAGAGATGTGAAGACTGAATCATCCAGCTATGAAGCCAAGCGGACTGTCACTTCCAAAGCCAAAAGGGAAGCTTGCAAGTCCCAGGCGCCTCTGGTTCGCAACATCAACGTTCAACCACTACCAACATGCCCACGACCTTAACAAACATTCCGCACGCGAATCGGCCTCGTTGGGCACCTCCGGACCCAATGCACAAACAATCTGACAACCGGCCCTGTTCCAACCCCTACGGCGTCTACCCTCAACACCGCTGCCCCGAACCCCTGTGCTCTACCTCCGTCGAACATCTCAACCTCGATCATCTCTCCCGCAACCTCCTTGACGACGACCACAACCACCTCTACTACCCCCACCACCGACTGAAACGCCTCCGGTGTTCCGTCAACTGCCACTCTCACCATCACAACCCCCTCCAGCGACCTGATGTGATTTGCTACTAAGTAAGCAATTTAAAGAATATTGTCTGCATGTTTTTACGAAGTATATTCGAATTTATAAAGACACTGAAAATCAAAATGAAAAATCGCACTATTTAAGTAGTTATTTTCCACTGAGTGCGGTTTCCATAGGAAATCGAGAAGGGGTGCATCCAGAAGCTAACATCCTGGAGAGTCCAAAAGAGCATGCGGTTACGCCTCATGATAATCAATTTCAAAATCCCTACCTACGCTGTCTTTCCTAACCGAAAGCACATTTCAGAATTTCGGCCGATATATCGTGACATCGGTCAATGGCTAGGGATTCCAGTTCGTTCCATGAATTTTTTGTCGGAAACTCTGTCTGCTACCTCCGCTTCAGTAGTCTCCTCAGCAGATAAGGTGGAAGTCATTGAGTTGCCTGGCTTCTTTTTCGTAGACTGGCCATATCTCCAGCTCTTAGAACAGCGTCGTCGGGACCATTGGGGTGCTTATCCTAAGTTCCATGTTAAATTAAAGTCCGCGGCGGTTCCAGACTGAGGACTATAGCCGGCCGAAGGCTTGGCTGGCTCTGGAGAACCGGTGGGTGGCTTCGCCGTCGAGCTTGGCATTCTTTGAAACTGTACTTCCAGGGTATGCGGTCTTATCCACTAATACAAGTTTGGGTAAGATGATAGTTGGTAGCCGTGCCCACAGCCTCCACAATGGTACCTACTGGCTCGATTTCAGTAGCTGTGCTTGCGTTCTCATTATGCTTCTAAATTCACGCGCACGCTGTATTACCTGTATTAGATTCATTTTAGAGGTACTATCCTGGGAAGATTTGCACCGGTAACGATGATAATGAGGCTTACCCTATGTCCAATTTCATTAGAAGAGGGAGTTGGCAACCGTGCCCACAGAATCCACAACTGTACCTACTGACTTGATTTCAGTAGTTATAGTTACGTTCTCATTATACTTCTAAATTTGCATGCTTGCTGTATTACCTGTAACAGATTCATTGTGGAGGTACTATCCTGGGCACCGGTAACGATGACAAAGAGGCTTTCCCTACACCAAATTTCATAAAAAGAGGTAGCTCTCGACTGCCTCATTCATTGTAGCGGTACTATCTTGGGCGGATTGGCACCGGTAACGATGCCAATGAGGCTTACCCTTTATCCACTTTCATTAGCAGAGGTAGCTTTCGACTGCCTCATTGTTTGCGGATTTTCTCTTCTGCCCAAACCACTTTCTCGCATAAAAGTCTTACCCGGCTTGCGTTGTGGCGTCCCGCGTGCCGCTGCTTGACTCTCGTGTTCTTCTGTCCATTATGTTTGATGGAGTTCTATCGCGCACACTGCGGAATGACCTTCGGACCAGTTGCCTTCTTCCCATTGATTGTTCGCCTTCACTTGCTCTTCTTTCCAATCTGAGGCTAGGATGCATTTATTCCACACACCGTTCAAAGTCTCCTTGCTCATTTCTATACCTTACTTGTATTTTTCACCTAATCTAAATTAGGCTTCCACTTTACCAGGAACGTCAATTCCTAGCATATAATACAATCGCCATTTACCCGTCCACTCAATTGTCCTAACCGTATAGCTCCTTTTACCACCGGTCCCGATTGACAGGCAGCTGGGAGTTTGCGGTGTCAGGAGGGCTACCAACTATCATCTGACCTCGGCAATAATGGAAACCCATCGGAAAATCCGACGAAGGCCCAAATCAAGTGTGATGGAACGCTGTCCAAAGGTGGGGATGCTGGAGTTGTTGGCAGCTGTTAGACAAAAAGAGCTGCAGAGTTTGCGTTCGGTCGGAGTTGGTGGAACCACGCTAACCTCGGCGCCAGAGTCTACAAGGAATGTGGCACCAGCGATACGGTCCCAGAAAAACAAACGGCGAGTGTGGAAATTGGCAACGCGTCCGGCGGCAGTGGCCTCTATTGTCGAGTGGGATCGTCTCCCTGAGGCCGCTAGAGATGCCTTAAAAGAGCACGACTGAAGACATCGTCAAGCAGCTCCTCCAAATTGTTGGTGACACCAGCAGACGCTACTTGGAGACTGTGGACTGTGGGTGTGGGAAACGCAGGATGTACGCCGACGGTTTGGTGTTCGCCGCGGGCCGTTAGTGGTAACTGCAGTGAGCTGGGCTTTCAGACGCATTAATACCTCCTCGAGCCGATCCAAACGTACGTTAGCTCCTTGAGAATTTGGATTGATGAGTGACTTCTGGTCTTGCGACATCGCATTGTAGGTCGCCGGAAGATTGTTGTTGTGGACAAAAAGTTTGCGGAATTCCAGTGTTCGAGAAGTCGGGGTCACCCATTTGTGGCGGTCAAGGATGTGAGATCAACTTAAACCACGCACAATAGATTCATTTCTTCTAATGTCAGCAGTCACGGAGCTGTGAGGACTAGTTTACTCTGTACACAGGGCAGGTTGCCGTAAGTTTGCTATTTGCTTGCATAAGAGATAAGCGTCCATTAACGCGGGGGTGAATGTCTGTTTCAGTAGGTAGGGTTGACTGGTTGAGGGCTGGTCATGAGATTGGACGGATTAGGGGGAAGCATAATCACAGGGGCTCACGGGTATCAAGCCCCGTCGCCCGACGCGCCTGAGGTGATAATAGTTTGTGGGGGCAGCCGGGGGTCACTGCAGCTAGACAGGAAGGGCCCCAGTTCCAGCCGCCGGGGGTGGTCGTGTGTCCGCAGCCTGGCAACGATTGTTGCGGCCATCGACCGACAAAACGGAGCCGGAGAAAAGGGGGACTGGAGCGGCTGCTACACGCTCACCCACTGTAAGCACAATGGGAACCGATACCTCTGTGACAATCACTCAGGCATCTTGCCACTCAAAATTGCATGGATAATCTTCGCCCGCGTCCTCAACCATCTAAATACGCACCTGAAGCAGCGACTTCTCCCAGAAAGCCAGTGTGCGTAACCATCGACATGACCTGTACGGCCTGCCGAATACGGGAGAAGTGTCAAAAGTCTAGGACAAGCTTATACACCACCTTCGTCGCAGGGCCGCGTACTTGCTCCTACCTTATGAGGACGCATGTTCACTGCTGCACTGACGGACACCTACGGTGATGGACGACCAATGGTCGACATCAACTGTCGAATCAGTGATAAATCTTTCAATGCTCGTCTCCTGAAAGCTTTGTTGCAGGTATCCAACGCAAGCGCACACGATCCCCTATTCGCGAATGAGCGCACGCTAAATACCACATGGAAGGGAACATGCAGCGGAGTGTGGACCTCTTAGTCTCCGCCTACTCTAACTTCGAATTAACCGGCATGTCGAAGATGGCCGTCATGTACTAACTGGCGTCCAACGCAGAGTACGAGGAATTCGGTATCAACGTTAATGGGACCATTGCCGACGTTTCTGCCGCCCTCATAGGTGCCGATTTCCTAGCTCACTTCAATCTACTAGTTGATTTGAGGAATCGCCGACTCGTCGACTGCATCACCAACCTTCAAGCCCGTTGTTAATGCGATGTGAACCCCTGCGTCAACCCTCTCACCGTTATGCCCATCTCTGTCTGTCCTTTCCACTCACTCCTCAGGCAGTTTCCCCGTCTGACCAACCCCTCATTTCGTGAAGTGGACATCAAACACACAGTCACCCATCACATTTCCACCACTGGACCTCCCAAATCTTGCCGACCGCGTCGTCTTGCTCCGGAACGTTTTAAGATTGCCAAGGCAGAGTTCGAACACATGCTTGAGCTCGGCATCATCCGACAGTCCGACAGCTGCTGGACATCACCCCTCCATCTTGTCCCAAAGAAGAGCGGCGTTTGGCGACCGTGTGGTGACTGTCGGGCGTTGAACTCAGTGACTGTCCCCGACCAATATCCCGTCCCTCACATCCAAGACTTTACTATTTCGCTGCATGGTAAGCGGATATTCTCCAAGATTGACCTTGTTTGTGCCTACCATCAAATCCCAATCGAGGCCAGTGATGTGCCGCAAAATTGCAGTGACCACTCCCTTTGGGTAATTTGAATTCACTTATATGCCCTTCGGTCTGAGGAATGCCACTGAAACCTTTCAGTGGTTCGTTGATCAGGTGTTGCGAGGTCTTGATTTCGTCTACGCCTACATTGATGATTTGCTGGTGGCTAGTTCTGACGCTGCTGAACACGAGGTTCATCTTCGACAGCTCTTCGAACGACTCGACTCCTTCGGCGTTGTAATCAATGCTGCTAAATGTGAGTTTGGAATCCCCAGCCTTATCTTCCTGGGTCATGAAGTGGACTCTGATGGGATGAAGCCCGTCCCAGAAAAAGTTTCGGCCATGTCATCGTTCCCCGTTCCAACAACCATCAATCAACTACGCCGCTTCTTGGGGATGGTGAACTACTAACATCGTTTTCTTCCCCATGGTGCCACCATACTGCAGCCACTCAACAGCCTGCTGGCTCACTCCAAGAAGACACTGGTGATGACCGAGGAGGCCGTCAGGTCCTTCCATGACGTCAAGGTCGCACTTGCGAGCGCAACACTACAAGCCCACCTCCGCGCTGATGCCCAACTAACTCTTATGACAGATGCTTCCAGCACTGCCGTTGGTTCATCACTTCAGCAAACTGTTGGTGGTGTTCTACGGCCTCTGGCTTTCTTCTCGAAGAAGCTCAGCCCAGCAGAGACCCACTACAGTGTCTTCGGCCGAGAACTCCTCGCCGCCTGCCTATCCATCCGGCATTTCCGACGTTTCCTCGAGGGTCGCGAATTTGTTGTTCTAACAGATCACAAGCCACTCGTTTTTGCATTGAGGGCCTCTCCCGATCGATACCTGCCCCGTGAAATTTGTCATCTATATTTCATCTCACAGTTTTCCCGCGACATCCAACATGTCTATGGTAAGGAAAATGTGGCTGCTGATGATCTTTCAAGAATCGAGATGGCTTTCGTCACAACAGACGCCATAGACTTCGCACTCATGGCTGAGGCTCAACGATCAGATGACGAACTCTCCCAATACCGCCACGAGGACTCTTCTTTACGCCTTCAAGATGTCCCCCTTCCCACTGGCACTGGCACCATAACGTGCGACCTTTCTACCGGACACGAACGTCCTTTTATCCCAGCAACTTTACGACGACGAGTGTTCAACGCTCTTCACAATCTATCCCACCCTGGAGTACGGGCGACAGTGAAACTCATCACTGACCGATTCGTCAGGCCCAACATCAACCGGGATGTACGGCGTTGGACCCGATCCTGTCTACCATGTCAGCGCACCAAAACGCATTGGCATACTATTACCCCGCGAGGTACTTTCGCCACTCCTGATGCATGTTTCAGTCATGTGCACATTGACCCGGTAGGTCCGCTTCCACCATCTAACGGTTCTGCCTATACGCTGACATGCATTGACCTCTTTACTCGGTGGCCGGTTGCTGCGCCCATCCCGGACATCGGTGCCGAAACCGTAGCAAAAGCCTTCCTGACTCATTGGGTATCTAATTTTGGAGTTCCTGCGACTGTCACCACTGACCGCGGATCCAAATTCGAGACAACGCTGTTTCGCGAGCTCACTTCCCTTCTCGGTACCAACCGAATCCGAAAAACAGCATACCACCCTCAAGCAAATGGTCTCGTCGAACGTTTCCATCAACAGCTCAAGACTTCCCTAATGGCCTAGTCCGATCCTTCTCGATGGTCTGATCACCTTCCTCCGGTACTGTTTTCCCTACGTTCCACTCTCAAGGCCGACGTCGGTTGCACTGCAGCTGATCTTGTCTACGGAACCGCCCTACGACTGCCCGGTGATTTAGTGTCTCCTTTAAACACTAACGTTTTTTTGAACCTTGCAGTTATGTGGAGCGATTGCGTAGTGCCATGCGCAATCTCCACACAACGCCCTCTCGGACTTCACCCGTCAATTCCTTCATCCCTCCCGACCTGGATAAGTGCGATTTCGTCTTGGTTCGGCATGATGCTGTCCTACGACCACTCCAACCACCCTATGACGGGCCGTATAAAGTCCTTCGTCGATCTGACAAAGATGTTGTCATCGACCGACTAGACCGACACAGTCAGCATTGATCGCGCAAAGCCGGCATACATCGACGACAGTGACCATTCCTCACCATAACACTGTACCCTGACGCAAACAGTGATGCCTCCACCTACTGGCGACAGCACGCCTCCAGTTCGCCGCACACGATCTGGTCGTCACGTCCACTGACCCGACAGGTTTGTGGCTGGCTAGCATGTCGACGCCTTCACTTCGTTTGGTGTCTGGGGGGGGAGTTGGGTCAGTCGCTCGAGTCCCCCTTTTCTCCGGCTCCGTTTTGTCGGTCGATGGCCGCAGCAATCGTTGCCAGGCTGCGGGCACACGAACACCCCGCCGGCTGGAACTGTGGCCCCTCCTGTCTAGCTGCAGTGACCCCCGGCTGCCCCCACAAACTATTATCACCTCATGCGCGTCGGACTACCCGGCTTGATACCCGTGAGCCCCTGTGATTATGCTGCCCCTAATCCGTCCAATCTCATAACCAGCCCTCAAACAGTCAACCCCACCTACTGACACAGACTTTCACCCCAGCGTAAACTAAACACCGCTACTGATGCTCTCCGTGAACGGACGCTTACCTCTGTTGCCAGCAAACAGCCAACTTACGACAACCTGCCCTGTGTACAGAGTAAACTAGTCCTCACAGCTCCGTGACTGCTGACATTAGACGAATTGAATTTATTGTGAGTGGTTTAAGTTGATCTCACATCCTTGACCGCCACAAGCCAGCTCATGAAACGTCAACCGAAATTCCGAAATACGTTTTTGTTTCAAAATGTTTAGTTAAGTATAGTTGTAAAACTAATCATCATGCAGCCTAATTCCACGATAATTCAGTTACCTCGGGATGCCGGCTTTCGAACGAGCTTTCTCCCGACTGCATGCGAAAACCAGGCTGCTTAAAAAATGACTACTTAAGTAGCATGCATTTTTCCCATTGATTTTCGATGCCCCTAAAAGTCCAATTATGTTTCATAGAAAACATGCATAAAAATATCCATTCTTTCGCTAATTTGGTAGACAATTACGTCTTCTTCCAATCTTATACTCGAAGGAAATGTATAATACGGTTTCCAAAAACTTTTCCTATTCCCGAATAATTTTGAACCCGACCTGCCGTTGCATTTGCACTCACGGTTTCCAATCTACAAGCCGTATATTTTCCGCATACGGAAAGCCATGCATTCCTCTCCGGTATTAAGAGGCGACCATGTGAGGTTCATAAAATCTAGCAGTGGATTTGAGCTATATCGCTAACTTTACAAGCCACATTGTTAAATGCAGGAAGAGGACGTTTAATGTACGGCCATTCCACGGTACTAAAAAATCTCACAATTAGAAACTTTTTGAAAACTGAACTATATCCCTCCTTCGAGCATAGCTTGGAAGAAGACGTTATTTTCTACCGAATGGGCAAAAGGATGAATATTTTTATGCATTTTTTCTATGAAATATGGTTAGGTTTTTTAAAGGTATCGAAAATCAATTGGAAAAGCGCTTGCTACATAAGTAGTCATTTTTTGCAGAGTGCAGTTTTTGCATACATCATGAAAGAGGTTCGTTCGAAAGTCGGCATCCTGAGATAATTTAAATATTATAGAATTATGTTGCAGACTAATTAGTTTTACAACCCTACTTAATTAATCTTCCCAAAACGAAAACCTATTTCGGAATTTCGGTTGACACTTCATGAGTTATCCAACCTATATGGGCTATGGTGGGGTCTCTAAAGTCTTGAGGGACTTGTGCTGCTGCGCATTTCTTGGAGGAGTGAAGTCAGCTGAGAGCCGCCGTACTTTATAAATACCGTCCGGGAATGTATCGGATCCTGGTGCTTTTTCGCTGGGAGTTGTTGCACGACTCTGATTGTGTCCAGGAGGGAGGGTGAAAAGCACAGATCGTCGTTTGTTACCACATGGGGTGTCCGCTGACGGCGGCGTCGGAACACTTGGGCGGACGATTGGCGTCGCTTCTGAAATGCTTGGCCCAGCGCTTCATAATTAGTGATTTCTTCGTGAGGAGTGTTGGTCTGAAGGAGTTGAGGAGAGTTGCCGTTCCTTTAGTTATAGGACAATAGACCGCCCAAACTGACGCGAAAAAATCCATAATTTCATTGCGGTCCACATATCCTAGGACTTCCTTGGCCTGAATATTCATCCACGCCTTTTGTCTCTACCACAGCTGCTGCTGCACCAGGCTGCAAAGACAAAAGAAAGCCTTCGTGTTTGTGTCTGTTACGCAGTGAATATAGCCTTTGTGAAGCCTATGGATATTAAAAAACAGTTCGGTAATCTCTGCGTCGTCATTTCCAAAACGGCTTCGGCTTTGGCGACCTGCGCGACCCAGGACATTCATGGGGGAGGTTGAATTACCTTCTGCTGTTGACACGGTGTCTCCACGTAGGCGTTGTCGTCTGGCGCCTGCATATCTTCCGTCCGCTGGACCAATTGAGTGCAAACATTAAGGCGATGAATAGACATATTTAACAAAAAGCGGTAGCGGGTCGCCTTGTAGTCTCCTGTGACGTTGCAGTCGGAGCCTCATATTGGAGAAGACGAGGCGGTGATTGTATAGTAGTCAGCATCGCAGATCGCCTTAATCGCCAGCACGTTATGACTGCCGCGCCTCCGAAGGTGAACGTAATCCAGCAGATTCCCGCGTCGCGAGCAAGGAGCATCCATGTTGCCTTCTACAGAGGAAAAAGAAGGGACAAAGTCTTGGTGGGGAGGAGAGGCGGAGGTGTCCGGTACACGTTTGAGCAAGGAGGAGGTTGTTATCGTTGCAACACCCGGTTCCATGGAGAACCTGAACCTCATCACAGGCGATGTGAACTGTCCGAAGCGAGCATTGAAGGTGTGGCCGTCCACTCCCATGGTCACTGACGTAGTCGCTTACTCTTGTCGCCGTTCTATTCACCTCATGCTCCTTACCTGTTGATGACTGGAGCCCCGCGTATAACTCGACACTAGCTCTGCGAGAGCCCGTGGCCAATCGATGCTGCGGCCTCCGCTGATTGGCCGCAGACAGACAGAGCAAGGCTCACGCATGCGCTGGGTGCTAAGAATCCAAACGGCTGTCACACGCCTGTAGAGATGACTTGCTAAAACCGTTTGCTGGGTCGCCTGTACAGCCCCTCGTCCCAATAAAGCCTGCCCAACCTAATCAGTCTGTCTTTACTTGCAATTTATGAACTCTCAAGTTGTCGATCCATCGCACCCCGACAGCAAAAGCCACCCTGGCAGATACACTGAGGTCTTTGAGACCTACAGTAACTCCCGTCCACATATGCGTCACTTTCAGCCTGATCAGTATATATGAACGCGTCTCGCCTCCGTAAATCCTTATCTATTCCGTGGATGCTATCTCATCGTTTAACTGGCCCTCCTTGTTTCTTGCGGTCAATAGCGTTGCAAGATGCTATTCATCTGAACCTACTATCGAGGTGATATGGTCGGCAACACAAAGATTCCCTAATCAGAAGTCAGGGAAGGTGGATTGGTTTGGACAACCTTTACTGCTGCGTAGGAGCGTACGAGAGGCTCTACAAACAGTTGCCGCGAGCTGCCTCTCCAGACAAGTTTTGTTGCCCTATTCCACCATTGAGGATATTAGCCCCAACGCGTGTGTGCGCCTTTCGTCCTGTCTTAGTTAGCGTCCGCGAGCCAATCAGAGAAGGGGCAGCGTTGTTCGGCTTCAACCACTCGCGAGATTAGTGGCAAGCTTCGCGCGGCCCCAGCAACGAATCGACATGGACTGGGGCAGGCAGAAGTGCAGGTAGACTGAGCGCAAGAAGTCAAGGGAGCGGACAGCCACATTACCTCGACTGATTCAAGCCTGCTGTCACGTGACGAGTCCGCGTAGATGGCGAGACTGAAAAACCCTTTCACTGATTAACAGATGCTTCGGAAGATTTGAAAATTTCCTTTGGTTCACTGGCTAAAAACTCGGCAGCTTCGATGGGATTCGAACCCAGAACGGCAACGGCAAGGCCCAAGTTCAGTAAACTTTCTAACAACCAGGTCGGTAAAGGAACCTTCTACTTATGACTGCTGCTTAGTTGAGAGACTCCCTCTCCATGATCTGCTGATTGTTACCAGGCGCTAGAATGGCTGGACTGAACCCGATGACTCTTCAGACAGTCACCTTGTTGGCCGCTCTGAGCTTGGTTCTCGATACGACGATGGTGAAGGACCGACTATCTCTAACCAACACATGCATCCAACGCCACAAACATTTACCGACTTCGTATTCGAACGACGTCCATACGGCCACGGTGGTCGACTACAGTCGGTCAAACGTTCCGCGGCCGGTTTCACGGTAGCAGGTCGATGTGTGTTGCTGAAATTGGGAACGCCCATGGGCCAGGTCATGTCCTCTTTCGCAGGCGTCTGAATGTTCATCTTCTATTTGCACCAAAATTGTCACGGATAAGACATGTTGTCGCAAAATTACAAAAACCAGCAGAGAAATCCGGTCTTGCTTTATGACCCGAGTCGAAAGGAGGGGGGAGGACGAGCGACAATGTTCGCTAGAGATGACGGAAAAAGTATTGAGCTGAAATGACAACCTCTATGGAGCAGGTCACAAACGACGGTGACGCCAAAAAACCCTACCAAATTATCTGTGAAGTTGGTGGTAGGTTCTCTACACCGAGTGTCCTCGATGCGAATTACGGATTTATTGTTGACAGTTAGGCCAATGTCAAGCGGTGGCGTGAACACTTCGACCACCTTCTCGACTTTGATGACCAACCCATCACCCTTCCTCACACTCTGCAGAGGAGTCTTATTCGCCTCCACCCTACAGTACCGTGCCCCCTTTCAGTGAGAAAGATCCGACGCAATACGTGTCTGCACAATAACAAGGCGTCCGTAGAGGACGATATTCCCACTGAAGTCCACAATTTTTGCGTCGACACTCCGTCCCCTGGCTTTACGAGATGATTAAGCCAGCCTGTGGTGGTAAGGTCGTTCCTGACAACGGGTCCAAGCACCTTTGAACTTGTTTTCAAGAAGGGAGATAAAACAACGTGCGAGATTCACCGCAACTTAAGTCTCGTCAACGTTGCTGCGAAGTTCTTTGCTGTTGTCATTCACTGGCGATATCAGTGTGCGTGATTCGAGGATGAGACCCAACCAAGCCCGATTTTGAGCTGAGCGTGGATGCGCCGACCAGATATTCACATTGGGACACATTCCCGGATTCCGTCGTGGTCATTGGCAACCAATGGACATCTGTTTTGTTGGCTTCGCTGCAGTGTTCGATTGCGTCTATCGTGAGTCCTTGTGGCGAACAGTGAAAACAGATGGCAGCTTGTCAAAAATCGTCGTCATGATCAGAGTCTTCTGTCGTTCTATCACCGCGCTAGTGCTGGTCCTTAACAATCCAACATAATCATTGTTCGATCTATTGTTCGAAGTGGTTGTATTTTATCTCCAATCCTGTTCAAATACTCCATTGATTGGATGCTGGAAGGGATATTGACGGTGTTAGCTTTGCTACCATGTGCCTACTGACTGGTCCAGACAATGCCGACGATATTGCCCTATTTGTGTCAAGCTTTGATGAACTACAGTATGCGTGCCGTGGGTGGATGAGGTCGCAAAATCAGTCTGTTTGTCTATGAAAGCTGGGATGACCAAAGTGCTTGCAGACGGCTTTCCGGCAGTGAGAATTCTCCCGTCAAGATTATTGGCGGTCGACTCGAGGGAGTAGGTGCTTGTAAATACTTCTGGGTGAGGCTATTGCCAGAGGAACAGAGTGAGGACGACTTCGTCTCCTGAATCGATGTTGCTCGCGGGGTTTTTAAAATCCTTAGAAAGTGCCCACGAACCGTACGCGATAACCCCACGCCACAGAGATCCGCATGTATCAGTCATCTGTCCGGCTGGTCCTTTTGTGCGGTTGTGAATGATGGACTGCGCAGTTGCCAGACGAGCAAAAACCGAAGATAATTAATCACCACTGACTGAGGGCCATCGTTTGAGAGAAGTGCGTCGACTTGGCCCTCGATGAGACAGTTCACACTCGCTGAGGAAGCATCGCGAGGGCATATCAGGCCATTCAGGAAGGACGATTGGAGGGGTTTGGGCGCGGTCTTCTTCGTTCACCTGAGGGGTTAGGCGTCGTTGTCCTTCATCAGGTACACTTCCTAGCTGTCTGTGGAGAGGAAGTTGACTCAATACCTGGCTCCACACAGTCAATCAAGACTTGGTGGTCTGTGGACCACCTGTATTCAGTTTCTCGCTCTCTGGGGAAGAGTCGAGTACTCCAGATCCACTGCCGCAGATCACCGCGCATGGAAGTACAATTTGCAGCATCGTCCACAACGGTTATATCAAGCATGATTGCAGTCGCGTCAAAGCAGAAGTCCATATATGCCATTAGTGCAGCAGTCACAAATTGATCAAAATGTTTTAAGCGACTAGTTTAGGCGCACAGACCGTCCCTTACATCCATGATATCTTTGTATCTGCATGGACTCCAACTTTGGTTTTTTGGCCGATATCGGCCGGTCGCGTAGGTTCCGACTGAGTCAAAGAAGGCCGCTCGTGCATGTTTACATGGGGCCCTGTTTCCTCTACCCTGACTCTTCGCACAAAGCTTTGCCCGAGATAGCGGCACTCCAGGCGCTCAACAACGAACGGACTTCGCGCGAGGCCGGAAGTGACCACTTTCGTTTGGCGCAAATATCGTTTGTCGTCTTCGCTGGCTGACACAGAACATGCTGTATTCAAAGGCGCTTGCTCCCGGTGTGGTTGAGACTGACCTAGTGATGGTTAAGCTCCAATATATGGTTGCAGACCCCCAAATCTGCGGAGACCCAGCGCCTAACCCGCTGATTTCGGCAATCATCAGCCGATTTCTTCCGGACGGCGTTCTCACCGGATCCATGCTAGTGCCTCGGCTTTGCTATCGTGTCGATAGCCCGTGATAAACGATTAGTTAGTCACCGGTTTATTTTAATAGCCCTTGGTACTGTCGTTCCCTAGAACGCACTCGACCCCTGATGACTTTCATTTAGAACTAATCCCTCTCCTGTCATGCGGATCTTGTGGTGAGATTCCTCCCAGCTTGGGTGGACTGAAGTTGAGAAGCCACGCCTTTTTCTGTTCGCCTAATTCTTTCACATCAGGATTCCCTTCGGGGCATTTTGAGCGGTATGCTCCCATCTAGTCAAGGTGTTTCTGACTGGTTGCGCGCCAAGGATGACTATACTCAGTCTAGCAAAGGAATCGAAGGCAGTCAGGCAGGCCTTGGTGGCGGATAATTAAGATAGTTAGGTTCCTTATGTGTCACCCTCCATAAACACCAACCGACCCCTCATGAAGCCATGGCTAAGACAGTTCTTGCTGTCGGCAGCATAACCTGAGCCAAGCACGGGAATTGCCTGGTGCCCAAACATGAATATCGCCGCCGGACGGACTTGGCACCGTTCCACTGCGACCCAAGCCACAGCGTAAATGAACCGACTCCCAGTCCCTGTACAACACTGACTCTGCCGGAACCCACTACAGGTGGTCCCCACCATTTGCACCCTTCCAGCACAAGCGTACCGGTTTTAGCCTATCAGTCGGCACGAAACCCATCCCCGTTTCTCCACCATTGCTACGAGAAACTCTAGAACCAACGGAGCTCTTGGACGATTAGCAGGCCACATCGCACAGCCCACCTGTGTGGCGTCTGGCTCCAGTGCGTCCAAACAGGCTCCGCTGAGCCATAAACCAGTTAAGCCCCATAAAATGCATACTTCGGGCCGCACCGGTCAGGAGCGCCTAGGCTATTTCAAATACGCGCCGCGAGGGCCGGCCTGAAGCTTTCGACCATTCCCAGCAGCACCTAGTCTCACCGCTTACGGCCAATTAAGTTGGAAGGGGAGTGATGCTGGAGCACCTATCCCCCTTGGCGACTCAGCGCACTGCCTACTGTAACAAGCCTCATGCCCAGAGCAGGCCTGGAAGACGTGACCCCACGAAGTCATTCCCATGGATACTCGGTTCTGGGGTATTTCGCTGTCCAGTCCATGAGTTGATGGCGTCACCGGCCCACGTGGTGCACATGCCACAGTAGCATCATCTGGCTGCGAGGTCTTAGGTGACGGTCAACCCGCTGTACCCCGATCCTCCGCCGTTGCTAATGCTCACCTGACAAACTTGCACGACCACCCCACAGCCCATACTTCTGGAGCTAAGTGCTCTAAGGTAACCACCCTCCCATAGTCGGAAGACGTCAGGCTCATATGCAGCAGTGTAAACGCTAGCGGTGCACGCTCCGAACGAGAGTCTAGGATTCGGTGAAGAACGTTCACGGAGCCCCTTTCCTGCCGCCCACCGGTAAAATCTCTAATGCTGGAAGACTAGAGCTACGGACTAGCACCACGGCACCGCGATACCACATTTCGAAAGGACCACGCACTCGAGTCCACGATAATGGCTAGTCTTGAGACAGTGGGCTACCCACCACCTACCCTAATGTACTTGTGCTCACCACCCGATTTAAAATCGGAACTATGATTTCTAAACATAAAAAGCGCAGTAGCCAGTATCCAGAGACAATTGAAGCTAGCCTCCAAACCACCGTGCCGAGGCTTTACTAGAGGTGTCAGAGTTTGCCTCGAACGCAACAACTCACGGTTGGTCTACGGGAATTCTATCCCGAAATCAGTACGGATGCGGCTCTCAACTACAACCACAGAGTGCCCGTACTGCACTCAAGACAAGGAAGACAGGGGTGCCAGCTAGCAGGAAGGTTACATCCTTCACGACAGCACCGACGATGCATGTGAAGCGTTTGCTGACAAGAAGCCAGCAGGCGGTAGTAAGAGCAAAGGCCACAGATCGCCATTGGCCGGTCCCAGTCGCCCACCAAGCTACTGACGTAGTTCGGACTCGCCACCTTGGACAACCTATCTCTTAGAACGAACGCCAAATAACATAGGTCGGGCCTTTGTAATTATCTACTCCGACGCCATGACAAGCTGTTCGAAGCGCGAAACAAGTAAGAGACATGTGGACAAATCTCGAGTCGATAAAAAGGGAAGGGTGTGAATGGAGATAAATTGTTTAGTATTCAATTATCAACTCGAGAATTAGAAAATAGTTGTTCGTGAAATACGTATTTACCCTCACATGGGTTGCATCATAGGAAAAACATTCCTGTAAACTGGCTATCGTGAACCTTGAAGCGGTTTTTAGTGATAAAATTATCCGGCTGTTCGTTAACAGCTGCTAACCAATCCCGGGCACGGAAGGCAGCTAAGTGGGAGTAATATGTCGGGGCGGGATACGAGACGCTCCTTGGGCAACGCATGTAAGCGTGGCACAAGAAATACGTGAACATTTGCAGCGAGTCCGAGGTCCAATTGCTGTCGTCGTAAAGGACGTGATAGTGGGCTGGCTTTGAAGTGCCCTAAAAATCAAGTTAGAGATTAAATAAGTGTAAGCAGACTAACCTGAATTCCCTCCTGTGAGCAGAGGTAAAAATCAAATTCCCGTCGATGGGTAATAACAGTATCCACGACAGTCCCCGGGGCCACATTTTTTGCCCTCTGATCTAACGGCTCAAATCTAATGTGGTGCCTTTTCTGCACAACTATGTATGTTATTGCCGGTTCGTAGCCGGCCCGAAGGCCTGCGCAAGCTCTTTGTATGGCGGGCAGTTCACCAGTAAGTACGATGTCGAACTGTCCTTCGGATACTCCGTCACGGTAGAAGATAAGTCTATCTGGGAAGCGGTCATTGTTGTTTACAAAATACGCCTAGGAAGAAAAATGAGACGTATCAGGAGAGTCGACCAAAGTGCGAAAGTGTATGATTTGATGTACTCACCTTCAACAAATCAGAAACGATTTCTTCCATATTGTCAATTATTTCACGTGTGGTCTTGTTTCCTCTCTCTGTGGTATCCTGCCTACGAACGACCGCAGCATAACGCATGAGATCTGGTGTAATGCTCCCAAGGACCGCCGCCACCGATTTTCTAAGCTCATCGTTTTGTGTGGGCGCAGGGTGTGTAACATCGGCACCGAATACCATCACAGATCCTTTTATCGGGTAGTTTGAAACACTCCAATTTATTCCACCAAGCTTCCCGTTTATCTTCAGCATCAGGTTTGCTGAAAATAATTGAACGAAATTTAATAATGCCAGATATGGTTCGGTGGGGCAATTGCTCCACCTCAAAATGCATAGTCAGGAAGTACACAACCCACGTCAGAGAATATAAGTGAAATTTCTGAACGGCGGCTTCGCAAAGAGACTATCTGGAAAAACTTACGGAAGACATTGGGTTTCGTTAGAGTCACCCCCTTCACGCACTGGGTACGAATTCCGAGTTTTATGTCGCTGATCATCTTGATAGACGGATACGTGAAGTTGTCGTAGAGGACGAGAACAACAAGCGTGACTCGCTGGGCATGAAGTTGACGCATCAAACCCTCCAGCTCGCTCGGGGTGATGGTTTTGCAGAAGGGTCGAGGGTCAAATCGGAAACCAAATTGCGCTGCCGCCTGGGGGAGCCGCTGAACCAGTGTGGCTTGATTACGTTGGGCAGCCTAGAAGAAAAGAACTCTGGTAAGCGCTGCACATTTGGTCGGACTCGCAAAGAAATCGAAACTAACATTGTGCGGTGGAATGTTCACAACAGCCCATTTCAGTGGCTCAGCAGTCGCCGGTTGTAGAAAAGTGTTTGCCATCCACTTCCCACGTCCAAGCTCCACATCCCTGCCCCCGAAAGACGCACATGGTTGAGGAAGAACCCGAGCACTGACGGTTCCGCGCTGGGTCTGGACGTTGATTTCGTAGTGCTTGAACAAGGAGTGTTGGCTGTGAGATTACAGCGTTACGTATGATGAAATGGTGCTTACTGTCGCATGAATTCACCCACATAGCGGTCAAGTTCTCTAAATCGTTCTTGCGGTTTAACGGCAGCACATCGTATTATTTCACTCGCAACGTCAGCCTTACGTGCAGTCGGATTTTGGTATGGCAATACGTGTAACAACTCCATTGGGATGAACACGTCTCTCTTGTTGGAAACCTGTCAAGGATTGAATAGTAATGTAAATTTGACGCTTGCCTTAACACACGGCAAACCAGGGTATTGGAGAGTTATGTTGTGATGTTCTTTAAAGTATTCGAAAACGGACTCATTCTTGTCTTCAATTATCAGCCTTTGTGCTGAAGTTGTGGAGAGGCTGAATACGGTAAAACGGCGGGAGAACGATTTTCCTGGGAGGAAGAACATACAAGTCAGCAAGGTCATTTCATGAAGTAGCTAAAAAATAAAATGGCCGGGCCGCCTGGTCAGTGACCCACCCTAGGCTTAATTATCGGTCAGCGTGCTGCCCACGTGCAAGTCGGAGGCCTGCCGTTAGCCTCACTGACAAGGCAGCCGGGGAGTGAGAGAGCAGGAGCCAGGGGTTGTTCGAGGTGGTAAAGTACGGAATAAGAGACAAACGAGCTGGACTTATGATCCAAGCAATGCTTACCGTCCTGGTTTTTGTAAAACTTGGCTTCGACACGAAGTCTCTTAATATCAGCGAGCACCGAGTTCCAACACGCAGGATTCTCTATGTCGTCCCCGTATTTGGAATATAAGACATCTGCAAGGTTTCCAGGAGGGAAGAATGCCTTGCACGTCTAAATTAAAACAAGACCACGGTCAGCCCTCGGAGGGCGGTAAAGTCCAAAATACGAAATGAATATAAGGAGGTTAAGCAACTGAATTGCAGTCAACTCACCATGTCTACGTTGACGCGGACCTTCCACTGCGGACGAACGCTAGTTATGAAGCCCATATGTATGTCAAATAACTTGTCTGCAAGCCGTCTAATAGGCGTGGGGTAGAAGATGGCAGCTCTTCCGGATGATACAAACTTGTCTTCGTTTATGGACTTGAAAATACAGTCGATCATCCGAATGCTTTCCTAAACCTCTGAGTCAAAGAAGCAAGGGTTCCGACTAACCTGTGGCATAGCCAGAGTGGAAGCCCTAGGATTTTCGACGTAACGTGCAAGATCTCCTGTAGAAGTCTCTTGGACTAGTTTAATGCGATATTTGAGTGTTAGTTCGTCCCGATCCGTTGGGTCAGGAACTGGATCTTCCTTCTGGATGCCCATCTCTGTGACACCAGGTAATGGATCCAATTTGTAAATAATTCTTCCGCCGTCATAGACCGTGTCTGATGGCATTCTAAAGGGAACCAAATTCATTAGAAAGTGCCATTGATAGCAGACTTGTTACTCGGAATTAAAAAGTGAAGTGTACCTTTTTACGATATGCTTTAGAAGTGCTCGCATATCCTTTGGAAGGAGGCGTACCTCCACTTTCTCGTTGTCCCGCATCCGATAAACTTGAAGAGCTTCGATGTCATACATTAGGACGGTGCGATCCGCAATTGTCATATCCCAACAGTTTAGTCTTATCAAGACGGGTTCGCCAAGAGTTCCGCCGTTATCGGGGCGACAAGGAGGGTGAAGCCCTTCGGTGATCGTGACCCTTGACAGTAGGTAACAAATACTGCCGCATCTTACCTTTCCATTTGTTCTACCAGATTGTCTCTACAAGCAAAGAACAAACGCAAGTTACGGTAGAATCAGTCACCCGACAGACGCAGAATTTGGCGCACGCCCGTAGCATGGGAACCTTTTTGGGTTGGTTTATATTTCTGAGCACTCACTCGTTGGCATTAACGAAAGACACCAGACCAGTGGCTTAATATTACTCCCGCGACTGACCAGCTTCAGGACCGCTACTGCACTTCAGCAAACTTTATTTTCATACCAACTCGAAGGCTGAAGAACCAATGCAATTATAGTTGGGCTACGCCTGACCGGGAGCCACAAGTTACCGACCATTCGGCCCCAAAGCACTATCACGATGGCTGACAGAAATTAGCCGCAATTAGGAGCGACGCAAGATTCCGAGATGTTTTGAGCCAGACTCCAGATTGCAGATGGGAATTCGGCTGTACGCAGTAGCTGGAGGAAGATGACTCCATAATAATCCAGAATTCCTCTAAACATCCCTATGCCCTGTGAGCCGTTAAACGAACAGTGTTTATAAACTCGCCACGAGTTTTTTTTACAAGACTTACGCTGAAGGTTTGGCCCTGATTTTCTTTTGAGAAGCCGACGACTGTCCGTCCCCCGTATCGTCTCCACGCGCGGATGTCACCGGGTGCTCCGGTCCTGGAGGCTTCACTGACGAATACCTTAAGTTGGAGACAAAAGCAACAGGCAAGAGATGTCAATGAACAACCGATGGGTAAGATAAACTGGGATATGGAAACATGGTAAGAGATCACCTCTACTTACCCACCGCGACCGAGCGGTCGTACAGACCGACTATCACCTCGATACTGATCGCCGCCGCCGCCGGATGGACCACCACGTCTGTCGTCCACCCAAGTTTGCCGGGGGCCTGGTGGAGGCCCAGTATACCTCGTCCTGTCCGGGCCGCTGGCATACCTTACGTCGAAATGACCATCACCCCGCCTTGGGTCGGGCGGACCACCTCGCCTTGAGTCGGGCGGACCACCATATCTAGGTGGCGGCGGTCCTCCAGAGTACCTTGCGTCAAATGACGCGCCATACGGGTCAGGCGGACCTCCATAGGACCGAAATTCACTCCGCCCCTGCGGATGTTGGTAATCACTAGGACCTTGTTGTCGGTAAGGTCCCCCGCTGCAACGTGCAAGGGCATAAGCGTGTCAAAACGATCAAAATCCAGTATAATAGATACCAACAGTCTTGAGGTACGTCATGGACGTATGCCAGCACCGAAAAATGGCGGCAAAGCCAGTGGGGGGAAAACGTTCACGTAAGGCCATTGAAAAGGCGCGCAATAAGCGAAAAAGAACGAAGAAGGGGACAACTGTAAGGTCTAAGAAGAGGTTATCAGCTTAAGGCCCACTGGAATGATTGTTGGTGTGCAGTTGTATTCAATCAAATAACATCAACCTAATGTAAATGGACTAGCCAATGTCTTAGGGCTGTTTAACTACAATCGACCCAGATGCGTTGGCGCCCACAGGCAATCCTACAACGGGTATTACAGGGGACACGGGATTATATATACAAGGAAAAATTACCGCGGCTGTCCAGGGGGCCCCGGCCGGCCTCGGTTGCGAATATCACCTCGTTCGCGTCTGAAACGGAAAGTTGACAAACTGAGTATAGCGAGCAAGAGAGGAAGCGTAGCGCTGAGAATACTACTCTAGCATACAATTGGTCAGTTATTAGCGCAAGCGCGATTGAAACTGGTAGCGTTGTAATAAAGGTTCGTTCTGGAGCTACCAATGTGCCAAAAGGACCACCTGCCTGTTGACGCGGTCGACTCTAACTCATGGTGGTCACTGTCCCCAGACAAGTTGACTAGCAGGAAACAGAGCGCGCGACACGCCTCGAGCAATTAAGATAAACGAGGGCAAAACTTGGCGACGTGGTCTGCGCCAATGAGCACAGCGGGTCCATTAATGCGGCCGAGGCCTATCAATCACCTCCGACCACGTATCCATGTCAATTGATCAGCGGGTAGCACATGCATGACACGGAACGGTGTTTGAAAGGGCTTATCACGTCCAGAGGCGCTGGGGGCATTTCGGACTAATAACCAGGAGTGAGCACTCGGCAGGCGAAATCTTATTTACCGGCAACCCATTACGCGCAACTTAGCGACACGACCCTGCGTATGGAGCTGCTCTCACTGTAGACCCTACTCAGCGCACGACTCAACCTCTCCCCGTGTTATCTAGAACGGGGGGGGCTGAACCTTAAACAACTCGAACGGTACAACTAACATCTGCGACACCCTGATAGCATTTTAGTCGTCCAGGGCTAGACCCGGTCGCGGGATAGTCTTGCGATGGGTTGACTCTTTTCGGCAGTCTCCTAGCGCAGTTCGTTCGTATGATTGGCATCACACATGCAGCACAGGCCAATTAGACTACTAGCTATGCGCTAACCCGCAAATTCAAACGGGTTAGCAAATGTTTGGCCCTGAGCGCCTAAATGTTACCAAGGAGAGACTGCATCTAGGTAGTCAATCCAACGCCAGTACAAAAATCCGAGAGCAAGATGGTACCCAAGTAGCCCCTAAGCCATCCTTTTCAAATCGTGTTTGAGGCTTTTATATTGGCTTAAGTTGTCTGTCCGCGCACGCATGTCATTCACTCTGCGGGCACAACAGTTCGGCTTTTTAGTCTTTTAAGCTAGTATGGTGCAGTACCACGCGCGACCACACAGAAAAACAGACGACGAGCAACGGTTCCCATGAAACCATGAGTGGCCGACTCTGAAGGTCTAACCGATGTGTGCCAATAAAAAGGCCACAAAAGGCCCTAGGAGGACACGTGTACAGATCATTTGTGAATGCCTAAAACCTCGCCAAGTGCTAAGGCTCTCGAGCGGGGCCTGACAATCGCAGGGGTCAGAAACCGCCGGGCACAAGTACACTTATCTAGTGTTCTTTCCCGCAGAAAAACTAAAAAAACATGAGAATGGTTTCCATTGTTTGTTTGCTTTAGTTATGTAGGGAAACTGTTGATTGCTTGGACACGGCAAAGCACCAAACGAGAGGACGGGAGACCAACCTGTCCATCACTCAACAGCAAAAACCCGACCGGAAATAAATGGCGCAAGCTCCTCTAAGCAGTAAAACAACACAGTGCTCGGGTGGGATTTGCGACAAAAGTGCTTCCACTTATTAAATTTCCGGCGTGTTTGCGAGTCATTCTTCAAGAAGCCGAAGGGCAGCAGAATCCAGAAATAGTTAAAATCCACTTTTGTAATCGGGGTTACCTTCCAGGGGACTCTATTATGAGTATCACCATCACGCGGAAGTAACGGAAACGCAGAGGGATATTATGAAGAAAGAAATCGATAGTCCAGGGGATTTTTTTGTTTCGGATGAACACCGCAAACGTTTAAGGGCTTTGATTATATTCTGCCAGTTTAGCTACTGGGGATTTTCCGCTGGCGCCATTCAGGGAACTTTTCTGGCTTGCAAATTTCGCAGTCATATAAGCTAATATTTCATTGAAGAAATATTTGCTACCTATCGGCTTCGGAACCATGAACAAGTTTTATGTCTTAGTTCATAGGCAAGCGAAAACTAACTGCCTCGTGAAAAGGCCCTTTGACGATTGGACATGTCAGCAAGGAGTTAGATGGCAAACAACCAGTCCAGCGTCCAGAAGGGCATTCAAAAGTTGCGTTCTTCGTAACTTGCTAAAATGAAATGGAATACCTCATGAAAATCACCTACAGGGCTCAACCCCGAGGAACTGACTCTCGAAGCTTGTCAACAAGGGCCAATGTGTATATCTTAAAGTGATTTTCGTCTTAAAAATGGATAGGGACAGTCATGGAAAACTGAACTAAAATATTCGGATCTGAGCATGTGCCATCTCTCCAAGACTAGTCGATCTTCGCTAAATGCGTTCGAGAAAGTCGCCTCCTTCAATCGATTGTTTTATTTATGTCAGCTCCCACCAAATGTTCAGCACTCCTGGCCTGCAGGCACCCATTCGAAATTTCCACCGTCAGCAGTCCATCACTATTTTCGCTCCTTCATCTCGACACGGGAACATGTGCCTACTCGATGCTTCAACGCCGTATAGTGAAAAAGAAACAATATTTTTTATGAACTTCCCTCTTCCCTTGGTTAACTTTTAAGTCAACAAGACAGGGGGTAAGGGCGACAGTGAAACGTATGTAGCACTGTCCAAGCACATTACGTTGGCGAGAACCAACTGCTGAACAAGGGGCACAAATCCGCACGCGAATGGACATAGACAATTTTATATAATATCAGATTTGCATCACGTCTAAAAGAAAAAATCAAGAAATTATGCAAACAAATTGAGACCGGATTGTTCACTATAAATTAATCGTGGCATTAGCTGGGTGGTAAGCATACATTCACGTCTGATAGCGATTGGTAAGACACCAGATTCAGACTGATTTAAGGATAATGTAAAATCGCCGCCCTAATTCAGCTGGGTGTAAAGACATTCAGAGGATCTATACGTATGAGACCTATTCCGACTTCTGGTGGGACAGGACTCTCCACGAAACGAGCAGCAGACTTTGGTCATGAAGTAAGACCATTACAATATATCGGGTTCGCCATTACCTTAGAATGTGCGTGCCATTGTGATTTGCGCGAGAACGAGTTTGTGGTGAAGTTGGCTGTCAGCGCATATGCCCCATTATCTCTCTCTCTCTCTCTCTTTAATTACTCTGCCCCGCTGGCAAGACAAGGTCCATACAGACGGAGACTCGCATAGGCACTGAGCTGGACCGATTAACAGCAAGGCAGTCCATTTCTACATGAAACACACTGCCTATTTACCAGTGCCGAATGTGTGAGGATGCGACTTAGGTGTCATAACATTTGCCCAAACCCGGTTTCCGAAGATACTGTTTCGCATTAATTGCTAATTATATGGGTACTTCACTTTATCAATATTTTTTCGGCTGTTGCTTTTATATTGAGTCTGTAGTTAGACACAAGATTAAAAAGCAACACTATGGAACTGGCACTTAACGGATCTACTGGGTGCGCTTAAACAACTTAGGCTTGCATTGCTGTCCACTCGCGACGGAACAACATTGGTGAGCATGCGAAAGGAATATGTTCATCAGTCTCAGAGAAGTTGGCAGGAAGGACGGTGTCCCATTATGTCGGAAGAGTGTATTTGAAGAGCAAGCCAGTGCAACAACACAGGTACGGTTGCAGTAAAAGAGAACGCAATGTCTCGGCGGAAATATTGGGGCATAAACAGATGTGCTGCAACTTTTGGCCAACCAAACACTTATTTGAAGTTTAGTCATGCCTACTAAATATGAAAAAACTCTGCAGCGAGTTTCTATGTACGACGGTTCGACTGCCGTTGCCGATTATGTCCGCTGCGTGTTTTGTAACATGGCGAGTGCCGGAACAATGACTTACACGTTAATTAATTTATGCTAATAGAATTCCGCTTCGTCTACTACAATCTCTTCTCCTGCCCCTGAGCCCGTTGTCCCGATAGAATCAAGAAGACCGGAGACACAGACTCGCGGGTGGTTGGCGCGATCAAAGCCCGCACCTAGGCGCGTGCAACTACACCAGCTCGGATCCCCCTGAGAGGGGGTGCCATATAGGCCACAGTAAGGAGCCTAACTCTAATTTCACCAGTCGGGCATTCCATACGAGCAAACAAAATAGCTGACTGTAGGGTCTTATTTAAATCGCCAGCTGGCAAGCTTCCGAGCCGCATCAGATAGTGGCGGAAATTCGACCTTACTTTCTCTACCCAATGCCGTGCAACAGCAGACAGTCGTAGCCGGTCAACCAACTGACGCTGACGTCTGGAAAGACGGCTGACAGAGCTGACAGCACACGTTTGCATGTGCCACTTACACGAACAGGCCCCAGCGGGCAACGCACCAGGAATTCGAACAAAAAGGATAGACTGCTCGGATCACACATCGAAAAAGGAGTCGAAGAGCACACTTCCCAAGGGGCGTGAGAGGTGCCGGTGATGTTAGGCGTGGTCATGTTTGAGACCTGCGTCAGTGTAGGAATATATGGTGATGTGGCACTGCCAGCAGTGATTTGCCGCAGGTTTCCATGAAGGCACATCTGACTGAACACACCCATGCGCCGACTGAATGTGCGTGGACATTGTGGAAAACGAAGGTGGATGCTAATCACACAATTAAAATACCTCATGGAATCATTTTTCGCCACAGCTTGCCTCTTTCTCACTCAACACCCTACGTATTTTTCTTATGATGCGAGGTCGATAGTGCATAAGATGTCCCGAACTTAGGAGTTTCGTTGAAATCTATAATCTTGCTATTATTTATTCTGTTGCAACATGGGTAAATGAATTAATATCGTATGCGCCGTTGTATGTCTTAAGTCACTAGGACCGCATAAAAAAACTAGGCGGAGGTTGTCTGATCTACGTCAAAACTGCATTTAAGCGAAATGATATTGACGCTTCAAATAAAATTCCACTGAAGAAATGTGTTTTGCTACAATTCAGTCCCAGACCCATGAAAACAAACTAATATGATATTTCTACTCCTTTCCGGAATATAAAAATGATAACACAGGCACTAAAGATCTCATAGAGAATATATCAAAGACTAAAATTGAATATTTTACCTTTCTCGTCCGCCTGTGCTCTGACATTTCTGTCATCCATCGCTGCCCGAAGTTACGCCTGGATTAAATAAGCTGAGGAATCATATTATAAGTGAAATTAACCTTCCCTTTCACTGTGGCTTTCAGGAAACCACTATCAGGAGCTTAGTGGAGTCACCAACTCAGTTTAGTCTAGAATTCTACGAAGGCAGAATTCAACGTGCTTCCAAAGTCACTCTTCCGTCACTGAAATAGTCGGAAATCAAAAAGAAACGGAGACCTGCTGGCAAGCTGTCTTTGAGAGCTAAGTCGTTCTTTTCTTTAAATTGACATCGGATATTGAAGTTCGTTCGCAAAAGAGCTGGTTGTGCTCAGTAAGTCAGCCCTTTAAACATTTAAAGTGCGTGTCAGAAATTAATCAGCCTCGTACAGATCTCCCTGACACAGGAAACGCGAATGCCCACGATCCTGTTATGTAGGACAAAAGCTTACCGTCGCGGGTGGGACTCGAGCCACCGAACTTATCGTCAGCGATCAACCATCCTAACTACTCGACCCCGGTCGGACACTCGAGAGACAAAAAAATACCATATGTTCAGAAAACAACGGCATGTTCCACTTTTGTAAACTGTTTTCTATTTCCTGTGACAGAAACTCGCTAAATACACCTGATGTATTATAAAGTGGGCGCAACGAACCACCAAGCATCAATCCTGGAGAACACTGTATGCCACTAAGATCGAATACAAACAAGGTAGGCAATGAAATATTGACACGGTGTCATGGGTGCCAAGAACTCACTGTCAGAGTTTCGAGATTTGAAAGAGACACTGATCGCTTTGCAGAAATAATAGCATCAGTCATTAAACATGACGATAGTAGACCCTAGAATACAATGCAGAAGACATAGAAGACATCGGCAAGACGGACCATTAGAAGCTTCAAAAACCTGCAAACGTTGATGAATACCATGCCAAGCGGAGAAAAAGGAGATAACGTACGAAATCGTCGGAGCAAATATCTGACTTAGTCGAAATACAGGTGGACAAAGCGAAGACAAACGGAAATGAAACTAGGTATTGCATTTCCTAAAGCTCAGGAAACCTGGAGCATACAGATTCCATCAAAGTAAATGTAAATCGGCGATCGGCTACCCGTAAATATCCGCATAAGGAAATTATATGGACTCACCTTTACCGTAAAAGAGCCTTGGAAACATACATACCTATGTCTCTCAGACTGTAATGCAACAGGTCAGGTGACGCAACGAAGTATGAACGTAAAGACGTTCATTACAGATGTGCGTAACTTAGTCACTGACCTGGACGCCACAATCCCAATAGCAAACACGTCAGGAATTAGTCTAATGAGCGAGTGTCAAGAAAAGTGGCTCTGGCTGAGAGTTCCAAAGCGACGTTGAGAATCAACTCCCAGGCTCACCGTTTGGCAGCAATGTGAAC